ACTCTTTCAGTTTAAAACTGTTACCCCTCATCCTATCACTACACTACCTGATAAAGAGTCCCTTCCCATCGTTCCTGTAGGCCCCCTTTAGGTACCAGAAGGCTGCTATAAGGTCTTCCTGGAGCCTTCTCATCTCCAGGCTGAACAACCCCAACTCTCTCAGCCTGTCTTCATAGAAGAGGTGCTCTAGCCCTCTGATCATCTTTGTGGCCCTCCTCTGGACCAGCTCAAGCAGGTCCATGTCTTATGCTGGTGGCCCCAGAGCTGGATGCAGTACTCCAGGTGGGGTCTTATGAGAGCAGAGGGGGGGAAAAATCACCTCACTCAACCTGCTAGCCATGCTTCTTTTGATGCAGCCCAGGATGCAGTTGGCTTTCTGGGCTGCGAGTGCACATTGCTGGCTTGTGTTGAGCTTCTCATCAACCAACACCCCCAAGTCCTCCACAGGGCAGCTCTCAATCCACTCATTGCCCAGCAAAGCTAAATTAAATTAGTATTTACTTAAATTGTTGTTGGTTTGTTTTGGTGTGTTTTTTGCAGTGTCACTCTTAACATGATTTTGTAAGTTTAAATTAAACCGTTCCTCTTAGGTCCTTTTTTTTCTTTATTGTGACTTTGCATTCTAAGATGTGATGGTTCATTTTAGTTTTTATTAAGTGACCTAAAGCCTAACTGCCTTGTTGATTATTATGTTCTGGGCATTTCTTTGTTCTCTTTTGCTTATATAGCTTCGGAAATCATGTAACAGTATTCTGAAATCCTGTTTTTAAAAGTCATCATTTATGCGTTTAGCACACTAAATGTGTATTGTAGTCAATATAATTCTGCTAGTTGCTTTTTCGAAGCTAGCTGTGCTTTCTTGTTATTTAAAATTGGCACCTTGGCTTAATTCTCACTTTAAACAACTGTTGCTTGGTTTGCAGATACTCACCAGAGCAGCTTGCAGGACAGAGAATTAGTATGTTCTCATATGGCTCTGGTTTTGCTGCTACGCTGTATTCCATCAGAGTTACACAGGATGCCACTCCTGGTGAGTGAAAGGAAGAGATGTTTTGCACACTTCATCTCTAAATGCTTTATGCCTACCAGCATAAGTAAACCTGCAGAACAATGCCTAATAACAGTAGTGTTAAACTGAAGATGTTCCAGCTCCAGGGAACGTTGTTCATTGTCTCTTTGGGCAAATAAATAATGTTCTTGAAATGCTTTAAGCATTTTGCTTGAGTAATTTGGAATATTTTTAAGTTACTAAAACTCTAGCTTCTCTAATGCAAAATATTTTGAATACCGTGCAGTTCTCAGCCCTGGTGCTACCTTACATGATGGTTTCATGTTGTAGGTTCTGCGCTGGACAAAATAACTGCCAGCCTTTCTGATCTTAAAACAAGACTTGACTCAAGAAAATGCATTGCACCTGATGTCTTTACTGAAAACATGAAGATTAGACAGGAAACACATAATTTGGGTAAGAACGTAATAAATACAAATAATTCCTAGTCCTACAGCAAAATACTTAATTTGCATGACTTAATGATTAAGGTATAGAATAAAGGAAATATTTAACTCTGTACTTCTGAATAGCTTGTAAAATGCTTTTCTGTAGCTTGTGTTTATTGGCCCAGTATGGTTGAAATGAAAATGCAGACTTGGTTTTCTTCTTACTACTTCCAAACTGCAAAGGCCTGTGTTGTATAAAATTCTCACCAGGAACCAACTAACAGTATGTTTATTGGCTTTTTTACAGCCAACTATATTCCACAGTCTTCAGTAGAAGATCTCTTCGAAGGAACATGGTACCTTGTGCATGTGGATGAAAAACACAGAAGAACTTATGCACGGCGCCCACTTATGGGTGATGGACCTCTGGAAGTAGGAGTTGAAGTTGTCCAGCCAGGCATTGTTCATGAGGTGAACACTCAGCACTCAGTTTGATATAAACAGTGGAACAGTTTGTCTTTGCCTTAGCATGTGCACGTATGTTAAAAGAGGAGGTGGTTTAACAAGTTATATTAAGTATTTTGTTAAAATATGTTACACATAAGTCAGCAGTAAAAAAAAAAAAAAAAGGGGGGGGGATTTTAAGAAATTAAGAAAATGTATTTCATCCTAACAAGAACAAACTGGTTCTTTTCACATAACCAGTTTGCATGAAGCATGATGGATTTGAATGACAAACTGTCCAGTGTAGCACGAATGTTGTTTGAGAGTTGGACTAGCTATGAAGTATGAATGTTTTCTAATTGGAAAACCATATTTCATGTGTTGTTTTGGTGTCCGTCCCCCCAATGGGGAGCTTTAAGATACTTCTATGAGGTGGGGAATGAAAAAAGGTGTGAGAGAGAAAAAGGATTGCAGTAGTACTTAAATTTCTTAAAGTACTTAAAAGTACTTAAATTTCAGTGTGCAGTAGTACTTAATTGAAGCATGGAAAACTGCTTAAACATCTTGACAAGATTTGTTGTAATATGGTGTGCTGATAGTATTTTCAGAACACTAAAATCATTAATATACTCGAGATGGAGAAACTTGCCAAGGGCTTTGTGGATTCATTAACATGTCTGAAATTAATTGCCGCATAGTAGCTGTAGTCTATTACAAGGTGTTTGTATATAAAAAAAAGTATCTTATATTTGCTTTTTCCATGTAAAATTACTTGAAACCTACACTGTTAACTTTTCTGCTTGTACTCAAAAGTGGGTGGCAAAATAGTCCAAGCTTTTAATGTTAGGGTTCTCACTGCCTTGATAGTAAGCAGTCAGTCTTCTGAATACTGCACTTGTCTTTCCCTTTATGGCCTTCCCTTTCTTCTCCCAGTTTACCTGCCATCACACCATTAATTTTGGAAAGATATAGAACCAAGTAACATTAATTACTGGAATAGAATATCTCTCCTCTGTCAAAATGACTGGTGTTTTTTTCCAAGAAACTCTGACTACTACTGACTACTCTACTACTGTCTTAGTTGCTATGTAATTCCTCCTAACATCCATATAATCTGTTTTATACTTGCATTATAAATCATAGCAGCCTGGGAGGAAAGAGGAACAAGTTCTTTGTTCTAAACAACAAAAAGGGTATATTTCTTGGTTTCATTGATTTGGCACCTCTCAGGATTGTTTAACTGTAATAAAGTATTTAAGGCAGCAGAATTTTAAGATAAAGCTTCTGGATATTATGAAGCTGTTCTAACTGGCAAACTAAGGAAGGGAGAAAGAGCACTTTGTCTGGAACTCTGGCCTCGCTATTCTTTTATATTAATACATTTCTAAGAGACTATTTCTAACTTTGAATTTGACTTGTACTTTGAGGTCCTTCTCACTATTGGTAATATTGTAGGAGTGGGGTCTTTCCCCCTTCTCCCCAAATGCAAGCTAAAAGCTATCCATTTTGCAAGTGGTAGATATACAATGCTAATGGAGCATCCGTTCTGGTAGGGGTTTTTTTAAGCCCAGATTGGAAATGAACTATGACATGAGCCTTGTAAGCTTGTAATATATATTTAAATTGAGCTAATGTACAGAATGAAGTTTTGTTGAATTTTATTTCTTTGCTAATTCTACAAAGCTATATTACCTAATATAAAGTAGCAAAAAATGATTGTCTTCATTACACACAAAAAAATAGTAATTTAAGTGTTTGTATTGAGTCACTAGGATTTGATAGCAGTGTCACTCACTAGGATTTGAGAACACTATTTGTACAGTCAACCCTTGGTAAAATAGTTGTTTATTATAAATTGATGAATACTAATCAGTTTGTTTGCTGAAAATGATGGAGCAATGGTGCATGAAGATAATGCATCCAACCTGGCCTTAAACATCTCCAGGGATGTTTTTGTTTACTTTCTGACAGATTAAACACCGATCTACCAACTGTTTAGCTACTGTATATATTCCTATACACTCATAATTCCTCAAACATTGGTCACATAAAGCTTGGGTTCCCCAATGGGTGCTCTGATGCAGCTGTGTCATTACTTCTCTAGCTAAAGCTTTATTCAGCATTTGTCTCCCATCTGGGAGTAACTAAATGCCTTCGGAAGTTTCTGTTCCACCTATTCTTTTTAATTCATCTTTTTCTTTCTGTGTGAACTTTGGAATCTGCCTTGGAGGCTCTTCTGTCGGTATTAAAATTAACACGGTTATCGGTCCTTTCTGTGCTGCCAGTTTTGCCCGCTCATCTGCTAATTGGTTTCCCTGTATTTCGAAAGATGTCCCCTTCTGATGTTCTTTTATGTGCACAATAGCAATTTCATTCGGTTTCATCAATGTTTCTAATACTTCAGTGATTAGTTTTTCATTTATTAGCCCCTTCCTTCGGGAATTTATTAGTCCCCTCTCTTTCCAAATTTTTCCAAAGGTATTTCCATATGCATACCTCGAGTCCATATAGATAGTGCCTTCTTTTCCTTGAAGATAATCTAAAGCTCTCTTCAGAGTGTATAGTTCACAACTCTGGGCTGACCAGTTTGCTGGTAATTCTCCCTCTTCGATTACTGCTTTTTCTTCTTCATCGATGACGGCATAACCACTTGCTCTCTTTCCTTCTATACATCAGGAGGAACCGTCTACAAAAAAATTTTCTTCCATAGGGTATCGGTGTGTCTATTAGGTCCTCCTTTACCCTGGTTTGGTAATCTATAAAGTCTAAACAATCATGTTCTGGCTCCCCACTTTCCTTTCCATACAGGAATTGTGAGGAATTCAGGTTTCCGTCTACTACGAGGGTCAAATCATTCTTTTCCATTAAAATGGTTTCGTATTTCAAAATTCTGGAATCTGTTAACCACCAGCCAGACTTCTGAGATAAGATAGTTCTTA